AAAAAAAAACAATTCTTTTTTGTCGCCATTTTTAGTGCTACGAAAATTCGTCTTTGGGATTTGCCAAAAACAAAACAAGATGCAATTTTATTTTTTCAGGAGGGAAATATTGTACCGAAAGAACGAAAATGTACCAATTCCCACAACATGAAACTTTATCTTGGTAAACGTACGTTTTGGAAATGTTATTTCATTTGGAATCTTACTTATCAGAGTTCATATGGTGATATGATTGTTTTGAACAGGGCCGGATTTAAGCTTGGTGGGGCCCTAAGCTAATGAAAATGATGGGGCCCTTATGAGTTCAATTCCATTTCTATACACCTAAAGTAAACTGTCATTATTTTTTATTGTTGAGTATTAACATTATATTATTAAAAAATTTGATAATATTACTTTATTGTTAAATATATTAATTGTGATGAGACTATTATGTAGAACCTTTCTTTTATTGCACATATTTTTTGAACGAGGGGAAAAAGTTACAAAAGAAACACATTTTAAGCACAGAGTAAAAATTTGGCGTGCTGAGCCACTATATATTTAATAGAGTTTTTTTTTTTTAGATTCATTTTTAATATATTTTATTTGCAATTTTTAATGAATTTTTCGCAAATTTTTTTCTCAATTTTTTTTTTTTTTTTTTTTTTTTTTTTTTTTTTTTTTTTATACGTTGAAAAATCTATAAGACTTAAAGACATGAAATTTTGAAAGTGCGTAGAAAATATGCAAAGGGTTAGAAAGAAAACAAGAAAATACATTTTGATTATTAGTTTTATTTTTTTTTATAACCGCCGTTGAAAAACCGATCCAATTTCGAGTTACGACTACTAATATTCAACACCGTGGCCTTGTAATTTTGAAACCAATCCAGAAGACAAGGGAACTGCCAGATTAGTACCCAGGGGTATTTCTTTGTTATGAGAACTTGGAGGAATTTGTGACCCCGACAGATTTAACACGCACCAGTCACCATTTTATACATGGGTATTCCTCTGCCGGCTGGATTCAAACTCCCATTCTCACGAACACGAGTCCAACGCCCTATTAACCAGGCTATCCCGGCCAAATTTTAGTTTATTTTATAACCGTCGTTGAACAGTCGACCCAATTTCGAGTTCACGACTACTAATATTCAGCTCCGTAGCCTTGTCATTTTGAACCCAAGTCAGCAGTCCCTGGAGCTGGTGAGAGCCGTTATATTAATACTGTTTGTAAAAGTAAAAAGACCATTTCGTAAGCTGATATTATTTAATTGATGTTTATATTGAAAATATTTCTTCATTATTTTTGCTTTCTTTTTAATTATTTTAAGTACATTTGTTAAATTTTTGTGCTAGAAAAAAAATTTCATTATTTATGTAAATTTTTGATTTATATTTTTAAGGATTTATTAAAGGGTCTATTGAATATCAGAGAGAATAAATGTCAGACGAGTTTAAAGTATCAGCTCTGCTCTTGATGTTGTATAGTGGCTAGGATGTGAAAGAGCAACAGTCCAGGGCATCCAGCCAAAACGAGCATTCAACATATCAATGGAACACAAAAGCTTTATATCAATTAGCAATTAGTTTTAGATAATTACAATTGTAAAATAATTATTTTATTATAGAATGAAATGTTTTAAAAGACAAATATCTGTTAATTTTTAACATTTCATTCTATAATAAAATATTTATTCTACAATTGTAATTATCTAAAACTAATTGCTAATTGATATAAAGCTTTATAAT